AATGTGGCTCTTGCTATGTGTTGGTTCAGCCGAATTAATTATTATGTAATCAAGTTTATTTTTCTCTTTTAGTTAGTTGTCATCCAGCCAAACATTGAGCAACTTATATTGCAGTACCATTTATCATTTAGTATATCAAAATATGTCATTGTAATTTTGCATGGCTGAAATGTAACGCTTGATTTATATATATGATAATTAATTGAATTTTCAAATAAAATAAAAAACAGGCTTTCTAGTAGCTTATAATTTGATTATGTAACTAAATATTAACCGTCCCCTTCAAGTAGGCAATAACTTAATACTTTACTTTACTTTACATTGTTTAGCTGCAAGGCAGCAGGGTAATCTATGAAAACCACCCTTTTTCTTTTACTTCGGACAACCATAGCTGGCACCATCACTTACAGGAACCCGAAGGATCGATAACTAAGGCCAGCGACGGTTAAGGTATTATACCACACTTTCTTCGTCCGTGGCTCCACTGAATAGATTATGTACAGCTCCTCATTTAACCCTCAAACAGGATTTCTCGAGCATTCCACTGTATAAACCGGGAGGCTGCATAGGTCCATCGGAACCCTTAGCAGAACGGCAACGCCGCCCACCCCATGACTAGTGGCACAGGCGGGGATTCAGAGGCGGCTCGTGGGAGCTGGCTGGCAGTTTTGTTGGGGGCCCAATCGATGGACTGGGGGGGGGGGGGGGGGGGAGGGGGCTTGGGAGCCGGCTCAAGCTGATCCCTCCAAACTACCGATTACATTACACACAGGGCCTTGTAAATGTAATGTGTAACACTTTACAGGCGACAGCAAACAAAACAAAAACTTATAACATGGGTGAAACAGGACACCACACGTGTACGATCTCAGCCGCGCAGTATCATATAGCAGTCAAATTGCAAAGGGTCCTGGACCCCCAAATCGAGGCAAATCATAATAGATTACCTGTAGTGGGATGCGCACGATGTGCTTTGTAACGTTTACAATTAACTATGTGTTAAAACTGCGCGGCTGAGTAGTCCAGAGGAAGGATTGGACTCCCTACAACACGAAATTTCACGAAGATCATGAGTGCCAGCGTGCGCTTACATTAAAACGTATGATAGTAAATGAAGACATTTATATTGCGATTTGTTATTTCCTAACACTATTACTAATTACTATTTCTATTTTAAGCACCAGTCACCAGATAATAATTTTAAGGCGTCCACGGACGCCTGGACGCCCTCAAGAAAACAACAAATTCAAGAAAACAACAAATTTTTATTTAAATCAATTATAGCAACAATTTGAAAAACTTTAAAGCTCTTCTATTACCATGGAATATACTACGGGTATGGTGACTTGGGCTATTGAGTTGTTAAGTAGATTAAGATTAGTAAACCTGCACTTGCATTGTATATTTTATAAAAACTAGAAATTAGGCTTCACGGTAAAATGGAGAAGCAGGCTGATCTTGGAGAGAGCAGACCGTAAAGTTTACGCACCCACCAGGGCTACCTACCTACCCCAGTTGTTCTTTTTGGTTTATCAGCTTGTATTGTTATATTTATGGACCCCAAGTCACCACACTAAGAAGGAGTATGTAAAAAAAAAATAATAATAATAATAATAAATTAAGTTAATATCATCATATCTGTTTAAAACAGTAAAAGTCAAGTTGAGGATTGACTTTCCTAGTTAATTTAAAGGTTCAAACGTTTTGGAATATAATAATGTTGGTATTTGTATCTGCTGCAGCAATAATATCGAAATATCATTTGTCTAGAAAATTTTCGCCCCTTCAATAGATATTGGGTCGGCAATTTGGTGAGTGAGTGATGAAATGGTTTGGTCTGTGATTGAGTGAGGGGCGATGTGAAAGTTGTGGTAAGTCCAGGTGTTATTATTGTTGATGGATTGAGATCCCAGGATGATACTTTTACAGCGTAATTTAACCAAAGATACAGAAGTAGTGAGGATTTCCCCATTCTCATTTAGAATCCGTTTATGTATGCTATTCCACAATTTGGAGGCTATATAAAGAAAAGTGTTGGTTTTTCTTGGGAGGATTATGACATTGCTTGTATCACGTTTTGATGAGTCTATAGTACAATACAACGAGTATGGAGTGCGAAATTTCATAATTCGAAATATCTCAGATATACAGTGGTATTTGTACAAGTTTTGAACAGTAAGCAATTTTAGTCGATTAAAAATGGGCTTGGTGTGCTCTTTTTCGAAAAAAGCAGCTCCTAACCTCTGTTTTGTATAAGGTCTGGCTCGTGCACAAGTGGCATGTTTGTCGAGGTATGCATTTAGGTCTCCAAAAAGGATTCTTATACAACGTTTCTGAGTTATGAACAGCTTATCGTTTGGTTGGTCTTTGAGAGCTGAGCCCCAAACACTTATTCCGTAAGCAAGATGTGATTCCAATAATGCAGAGTATATTTTTTGGTAGTGTTCTCCTGGAACTGAATGTTTAATCCTGTTAAGTGCTCCTGTAGTGGATCTAATTTTTTTTTCTTAGATATTCTATATGTGGGCCCCAGCTAAGTTTTTCATCAATTACTACACCAAGAAATTTGGTGTTGCTAACCTTGACAATTTTGTGTCCATTTATAAATATTCCTTGTGATTTGTCATGTTCATTGGCATACGGCCTAACCCTGGCGCAGGTTTCATCAGATTCGTATGCAGGTAGAAAATGTATGTAGCAGCATTTAGACATATTTATATGTAAGAGATTACTTCTCATGAATTTGCATACGAAATCAAGAACTTTATTGGCCTTCAAGTATGTTGCTTCTTTGGACGGTCCAGTGATAAATATATTTGTGTCATCAGCATAGAGCACAAATTTGCATTCATCGCCTTTGTAACAGTTTATTATAGCCGCCTCTGCGGGGATTGAACCCGCAACCTCGTGATTGAGCAGCATATCACGAGTAAGGCAGGTCGACTAACAAACTGCACCACTGCGCCACTAACATACTTTTTATATAATTACTAGAAAGCCCATGGTCACAGGGAAGAAGCTAGTAGTATTCTTTGGTAGTCAGTTTTTATAGCGTCAAAAAAATATCCGTCACAACCGAAGATACAGCCGATGAAAATTTAGCTTGCATTGAACACAACATAATTACTACTAAGTCGATCAAAATGTGGCTTGCAATTCTTTGCAAGTGCACGTGCGCGTTTAACACTGGAATTCCCAACACCAGTGCATTAGGACATACTGTTTGGATGTTTCAGGATTTGTTGGATTTCCCACATCTCCTCTACTGTCTTAGCAGCAACAAAAGTCCTGGTATCCTGCCACATTGTGTATTTCTGCAAGTATTGAAACACGGAACAGTGGCGGATTTAGGGATCCTCCTTTTTGAGATGGTGTCATTTACAGTAGCTTCATGGTATGACCATTATGAAAAATTTGCAGTGGCCACAACCGTACGGTATGACTTTTGAAGTCTATAACAAGAATTGCGGCCGTTTTTTTCGTTGCATGTTTTGATTGTTATTAATAAATACCAACATTTAAATTTGTTTTCCTAAAATTTGTTTTCCTAAAAACATTGCAGGCATTTGCGTTGTGTAATGCAAAATAGTTATTGCAAGTTGCATGCCATACAGCTCACGTATTTATGTTTAATAAATATTTAATGATTCGCATTTTATTTCGCTGTTCATGCTTCAATTAATTTAAACATTTTAAAAAACATTTGTGTATGCGTTTGTTATCATAGTTTAATTAAATTGGCTGGAATTTTTTATATAAATCAAAAATAAAAATAAAATTGCGCGCCTCAATTTTTATAATTTATCTCATAAACCATTCTCGAGGGTTAAATTAGTTTAAAAAGTATATTTCAAATTATTTTTTCAATAATTGATTTAATTTTACATTTTAACATTTAAGTACTTTTGCTATAAATTTTTAAAATGCCGAAATTTGTATTGTGCCGCGCATGTTCATAAAATTTTCTGTGCTAAAATATGTTTTAAAATCGAGCGCTAATTAAATATGTATTTTGATTCGATCTTGTGACTTGAATGGTGTTCTGTTTTGTCATTTTCTTATTTCCTCCAAAAAAGCATCATCTGACTTGACTGAACGGATTACTTTATTTAGTTATTTTATGAAAAGGAAATCTGACTATGTAGCTGCAGGACTGATCAGTGATCATACTACCAAAAAGATCTAGGATACACAAACACTCGCTTCAAATTGTGACACATTTTTCTCTGTCGATTTATAGCAGGATCTTTTCATTTCTATTATTCCTTCAGTATAATTTAAATAAAATTCTACTACGGGTGTTATGATTGAAGTTGCAGAAGCCTCTGGCCACCTCTCGTTAAAATATAGTATGAGGCAAATATCTTTCACGACTAGATATGTGTAATATATCACAATGGAAGCTGAGTCCTTCCTCTAGTCTTCACAAGCTCCGTAGGTATGGGACCGCTCTGCACTTTGTTTGTAGATCGTGTCTCTGAGATGATAGCTGACCATTAAAAAGAAGCCAAGAGCCAAGTCAAAAATCATATCAGAACACGATTCAGATTTGATCTGTTAAGAAGTACACTCATTGCACTGAGGGGAATCAGAGGAAGATCAACAGCCCAGCATCTTGAACTGCAAGACGTTTCCTTCAACCTCATCCCCCAGAAGACGAGCTTTGAGGTCTCCTAGATTTTGCTGTACTATTTTATATTGTATACAATTTTTCGGACGAAATGATCCCAGGGGAGACTCCCAACCCACTGCTCCAGCGGGTAGTTGATGCACCGTTCACAAGCAAGAGCCACTTTGGTCTACTTGCTGTGAGGTGTCTCAGCTACATGGGTTGGGGTCCCAACTTTTTTTCCTTTTTTTCTTCTTTTTTTTCAATGGAAGCTAAGATGACTTATGAATCAACCCAGCAGTGTGCCTTGTCGCACACGTTAAAAAGGGTAGTTAAACATACCATACTTTATATAATTTCATCATCAAAATTTACAAATAAAACTCTGAAATGGTAGCAACATGTTTGAATATCTCTAAAAAGGTAAAGGAACCAATTATAAAACACTATAAGGAAGGTAAAGGACAGGTTTGTTTCGGTTACAAGCACCATCATCATCAGCGGGGCACTCCACCACATTGAGACTCTTGCTGATACACAAGCTGACCTGCCAGAGAAGCTGTCTGTATATTCCCTTGTTATCTTTAGCAAACCTGGAGTTGTTAGAACTAGATTAATTATCCCTATTATCAACCATTCTCATGTAATTTGCCCTAATTTATATTAATACCAGATATATTTCATACGATTTAATAGCTTTGTGAAGGACCAAGACTAGGAAAAATATTGATTTAAAGCATACCTGCACCAGTACCCAACCTTGCTTACACCAAAAGCAGTCTTGAGTGCTCTATCGAAATCAGACACACGGTATGCTTTAGCAGTTGAGGGGACTATTCCACCATTTCTTAGGGCACGATCCATATCATACTTCTGGTGAAGGTTGAGGGCTCCTTTAAAGTAGTCCGCTGGGGGTTGTTTTATTGGGTTAATAGTTGGGCAAATAACCTTGAGTCTCAAGGTTTAATTCTAATTGATGCATTTTCCTGAGTTACCCTGCAATGTCTAAAGATGTTGTAATTATTGTACAAAGAATAAAACTTTGCAAAACCCACCAGCAGTTCTGAACTTGTCAGTACAACAAGTTCCGTGCTTGCAGTATTCGTGCCTCCAGAAACCGTAGTTTTGACTTGAGTAGGAGGTGGGCCACTCACGGTTCATCTCTCTTTCAAGGTGAGAGATTTCTGAGGATCGGAGCCTGTACAGGTGTAGAGTGAGGAGATTATTGAACTTAATAGAAATTTGATTGGATTGTCATTTCATCGTACAATTATTCGAGCAGGAAAAAATGCTTGGAAAATACTTACACACAGTGGTTCTGGCAGTCTTCTGGCCAATCATATTCATTGTATGATGGCCACAGTCCGTGTACTGTCCATTCACTGACATATGAAGGCATGTTCCTACAAGACTTCTTGGCTTTGTAGCACATGTTTGGGGTCCATTGTCTCACCAGATTGAAGTAATTGTAAGATTCACCAACAGCCTGGGGCGCATTGTAAAATCAGTGTAATGTTTGGATTCTTGATAGTTGATTACATGTTACGTATACCGCCAATTTGATATTATATTATGTAATAATATAAATAACTGCTAAGTAAAACCCACCAAAAGTCCAAAAAGGACAAGAAGAGAGAGCTTTCCTATCATAGATGAAACGAAAAATATACGACGCAAGTAAAATGTGGCGAAAGAACAGGCTTAAATACCCACTCTAATTAGTGGAGTATGAGGGTGGAAATCGCTATTTATTGAAACTAAGAGCACAGGTGCTGTGAAGAGTGAAATTAGCACTGTTATAACTTCGTTATTGACCATGTCTATTTATTTTTATCTTTAGAGGTGCTGCAGGGTCTTAAAACCTAGTTTATTCACATGGGGCTGGTGCCATAGGACAGAAGATCAAGAGGGTTGTAAATAAAGGAAACAGTGTTAAATTAATAAGAATATAATATAGGTGGAAAAGAGTGGAAATATACATGAGCCTTGAATTTAAAGTAAGTTGCGACTGGTAACAGGTGGGATGGAGGTGAGAGTGAGGCTACTTTAAAGATAAACAATGGCTGTCAGTTTAGAACCCTCAGTTAAGGGAACCAGATGGTGGCAGGGACATTGTGATGAAGCTATTTGACAAATCTCTCAGAATCACAGGCAGCTGGAATCACGAACAGTCAACGCTGGTCCTGGATCTATCATTCTTTTGACAAAGAGAAGTTTAGTTATTAAGTGTTAACTCATTTTACGGCAAATTGTTCAATATTTACTGGTTAGCAGCTGCATTTTCCTCCCTATTCCAGTGGACATGATCTTTTAAGCTCTGTACTAGGAGTCAGGACCCTCAGTATAATAAGAGCCTGGAATTGAGGTCACACAAAGTTAAAAGACCGTGAAAATGTGTACTTATTAAGTCATGCAACTAATAATTTTTCAGTTTTACAGATTTACGACGTATCAGAATTTAGAATTACCTAATGTAATAGTTTATGTTCAGGCTTTGGCAAATAAATTAGTTTAATATAAAAATAAGAAAGATTATGTTTATACCATCTAACTACAATTTCATTCTTTATAAATACTGTTGGTATCCTTTAGATTGCTATCATCTTATAAACATTAAACATACTTTGTAGCCAACTAGGATGCCCATTTTTGGTGGATCTACATTCGAGAGATTACTCAGTAAGTAAAAGTGTTTTTACAACCTTTTAAAATTATTGTTATCAAACAGGATCGTACACACAAAATTGATTAATAAATTAATACCTTAATGTGGTAATCTGTACCGATCCAAATTATACATTTTTGAAATACAAAGTGAGTTGTCAGTGTATTGTTTTATCACTGATAAAGGTATGTTGCAGGTAAAGCAACAGATGAGCAGGTCACGGAGCCAGATTGGATGGGCATGCTGGCTATGTGCGACCTTGTTAGGCAGCAAGAGGTACGTAAACTTACATACCACATTTCACTTGACATTTCACTTTACATTTCGCATTTCACTTTACGTTTCATATTTCACTTTACATTAAGCACCAAATTTCACATTTCACTCCGCATTTCGCTTTACGTTTCATATTTCACTTAACATTTCGCACCACATTTCACTTCACATTTCACTTCACATTTCATATTTCACGTTACATTTCACTTTATGTTACATTTCACAGTCTTCTCACGCAACAACGAGTTCAAAGTGGCCTGGCTCAAGCAACAAAAAGGGGACTGTAAACAAAATTATTCTTTTCAAAATTTTTCTTTCTTTAGTAAATTGTATTAATATTAAATCTAGAAAGTAAAATCTAAGTTAATTAAATAAAAACAAGTCTAAGTATCGTGAAATTTCATTCTTGGTTAATATTATTATCATGGAGTGGGGCGAGAAATGGCGTTATGATGTTAATATTACCTTGACAGTAATTACTCTTGAAGCTTTTAAAGATTTGAAATTTGTATTCCTTGTATTCCTTGAATTCCATTCCACTTCACTTTCATTTCACATCCAAATTTAACTTCACAAATTCCAACTGTCAGCTCAGATCATGGAAACTACATGACTACATGACTCCATTAAGTAATAAGTGAGCTGTATACTACGAAGTATCTCTTATTCTAAAACTGATGTAATCACCATGGAAATAGACTTCATCTTCACTTCTACCATGACCCCCAGATCTCAACAAGCTCGGCCCTATCAGCAATACGCAAGCTCCTGTTTCACAGGAACTCCCAAGTTGTAATGAACTCTCTGCTAGTACTGGAATGCCTGGTTAAGAACTGTGGACAGCCAATGCACGAGCAAGTCACCCAGTATGAGTTTCTAGAGGAACTGAAAGAGCTTGTCAGGGTGAGTGTGTTTATTTTAATAAAGCATTTTGTTCTTGCAATCTTGAATCTGATTTGGTGCAGTGGTGATTTGAGCAGTATGTACCATTGATAGACTACTTTGGAAGATAGATGAAAAATCAGCCCGAGCATAACCTTATGCTCTTATGTACATTGCACAAGACCGCTTTGAAAAATGCTACCTCAAGTTTATCAAGTGATTGGGTCCTTTTCCTTACATTCTAAAGCATTATACATAGGTTATTAAGACGGGATTGGACGCTATTTCCTATTCTTTGAAGCCTGCAATCTTGCAATTGATATATAATCTGTAATCGCATTGAGGCTAGAAAAGTAGAAAGTACCAATAATTCTTTTTCGTCGGTTTATGCTGGGCCTTTCATCAGTTCATGGTATAGTAATATCTCCTACCTCCAAATTCCAAAAGCATTGAAATTGTATTCATTTAATTCTATTATTTCCTAATTATTATTTCTAAACTTAAGCTATCCTCAGGATCTCAAGTCTTGTGTATTCAATAAAGTAATGGCCACTCTTGTAAATTTCTTATAAATTTTCTTTCTCCAAGCATGAAATTACTGTCAAAATTTGAGTAAACACTAATACTAAGTCACTCTTGAATCGTCCGAGATACGCATTCAAAAGCAACAAGATGCACTATTTCAGACCGGTTATGCCACAGTGCGAACTAAAGTGCTGTCCCTGGTGGCTTCCTGGAATGAAGTCTTTAAAGGAGAATACCGTTACAACTCTGTGAAGGAGGCGTTTGATGCGCTGAAGGTAGAAGGTTTCCAGTTCCCTGAGTTGAACAACTCTGAAGATATCTTTGATGCTGCCAGGGTACGTTGAATTTGAACTTAAAGGATGAGGGGACCTTAGAATTTACTTCCAAATATTCGCGTTTAAGTCCTGTGAAAGTGTGTAGAATCAAAAAATACGCCGGACTGTGAAATCGATAATTCGTGCAATATCACGCCGCGCTCCTATTGGCTGATAGCAATTTTGGGCTGTGACGTCACTTATGTGTTAAGACCAACGTGCGCGCGCACCCTTTGCTCGTGTCAACATTTTGTTCTGTTCTGTTTTAATTACGTCGTGTTACCTTTGGCGTTTGCGAGAGCGGTATCTTTGGTTGCACTGAATTAGTCTAAGTTACGAATAATTCTCTTTAATAATAATAGTTAAATGTAACTCAGAAAGGCTTTCTTGTAGTTGTAGTAGGTATTTCTATTTATAAATAGCAAAGATAAGTAGCATCCGCTAACTAAACCACAAACTGCTATTTTGTTTTGACTTGTTTGAAACCCGATATGGACACAATTAAAAAGAATGTATGATGTAGTAGAAGACATTTTACTAGCTGGCCCTTGGCGCCTCTAGTCCTATCTGAGTAGGCACGTGCGGTTTGACACTGCGCGTGTACCGGCCTTTAGTTGTACACTCATTTATGATTTACCGTTTTCGTTTGCTGTGACTTGAGTGTAAAGCGTAACGAATGTGGATGTGTTCGTCTGCTATGCTTGGTATAATATTGCTTGGTGTAATAGTTGCAAATCTTGCTTACGGTATAAGTAGTGTCACATAGTGAGTTAGAACTTAAAAGCTTGGTGCTTGGTGCTTGTCCAACTGGAATGAAGACATGCATTTCATACCTACCCGATCCATTTTTATTAGGACCGTGTTGTGTTGATATGACATGTTGATATATCAACTGTGGTACGAAACAGGGAGTTGCTAGGTGTTACGTTGGGAGCTATAAATATACATAATTTACATGCCTTTCTGTGTGACTTCAATCTTATTCCAGGTGTATCTCGGCTCATGGTTATCGTGGGGTGATAATTCTTTTTTCAACCGGTCATAAAAAGTCTCCTCTCCATTGGTTATAGGCTCGTTAGTATCGTAAATTGTTAATTTATTCTTAATTAGTAATTTAGTCGGCCCGCACGCTCATTTTACCTGTATTTCTATATGCGCGGATCAGAGCAACTCACATAATTGACGTCACAGGTTCAAATTGTTTTGGCTGGATATCTCGGCGCGCGAATGAAATACAACTTTGCGGATTCCACTAAAGTGGTTTATACGATTAATGTGATAAAAGGATTTGCACGAGAAAAAAACTTTTTCTAAGGTCCCCTCATCCTTTAATTTCTTAAAATGTAAAGGTTAATTTTAAATTTACCGCAAGATTTACTTTGCTTTGAATTTTCTTGTTTCGATTTATCAGAACCGATAAATGTTCTTAGCTATTTTTTGGGCATTTCCCTTTGCATTTTCCCATCTTACAAGATTCCCGTTTACTTATTTAAACCCTGATTAATGTGAGTTCTCTCGATTGAAACTCAATTTTGAGGTAACTCAATAAAAAAGAGGGACCTGCAACCAACTTTCTGAGACTAGAGGGTCGCACTGCAAAATTTAGGATTTTGTGTGTCCTTAAGTGCAAAAAAACGATTCTACGTTGATTTTGAAAGTGTCCTGCATAAGGTTAAAAACTATGCTGTTTAGCATTCAGCAGCATTATAATCATGTATAATAGACCCCAAGTTTTAGAGCTGGTACCTACCTACCGTGCTTATCTCAGTTCTAGTTGGATCATCTTCAGGACTATCTTCAGGAGCACCTAGGGTGAGGAAGGACAGATCAACTATTCACTGTTATAAAAGTTGTGACTGCATGGGTCTCTGGCGATGATTACAACTTTAAGGATCAACTTTAAGCGATCTAATTCAAATTATTACTAATTACTATAGCGTTAGTTTAGAAAGGAGGTTAGGAAGAGAAGGGACTTTTTCTTACCATTTAAACAAAACTCCTTCGTTTCAGCATCGTCCAGACCTATGTAATCCTCATCGTCGTCAGGCATAATCGTGTCAGCCTCTATACCGTCTATTTGTACCTTCACCTGGGTTCATTTATAATTTAGAAAACTTGGCAACTTGGATAGATCATAGATGCGTGCTCAGATCTGCTTAGTTATAAATAAATCGCTTAAAAATGTATGGCGCCATTTGCATTATTTACACATCTTGCTTTACAAAACCTTAGCAAGAAATAGTCCATCACTTCCTCCAGTCCTCAACGACACACATCTATACTCCCCTATGTCAACATAACTCTCAAAAACACACAAAACTTCTTGGTTGTTAACATAGAAATCTGTTTCACATAGCATTTCATCTGTCTCTCCGCTTGTTCCTTTTATTTTAACATACTGAGAATTTCTAGTTCGTGCGTACCGGTGATCTCCAATCGAGTAAGTTATACCGTACTGAACCGCTAAAATAAAGTTGATGAGGAAAAATAACATAATTAAAATTACTTTTATTATTCTGTAATTTGTTTCAAGATGTAGCATCTTTTACTTTAATTGTTTAAAGGACCAGTTAACTGAAAAAAAAGTTATACTCATATTTTGACAGATTGTGACAAATAGCAAACTAAGCAACGAGTCGAAATTCCTAAATCTCTAACTGCTCTCTAACACGTGTAAATAGCGTTTGTATTATTTTGGCGATGACGTCACGAAGTCCCTTGCGCGCGCAGAGGAGCTCGTGAGAATGTATTTTACAGGTAGAAAATGGACATAATACAATGTTTTTCCCCGAATAACTCGAAAAGTAAGTAATTTAGGGTACATGTTGCTTCATAAGTTGTATATAAACATGGCCATTCTGCACAATTTGCACACATTCAAAAACCTTTAGAGCCTTCATAGCCCAATTTACCAGATACCCATAGTTTTGCATGATTTCTGGAACCGAAAATCAGTTTTTCGCCAATAACTGAAAAAGTAAGCACTTTAAGGCATATGTTTGTTCGTAAGTCATATATTAATATGCTAATTGCGGTTCTTTTGCACCCTGTCTAAAGACTCTATCACGATCCTATCGAAAATGGGCTCAGCACCACGCTCAAAATGGTTTTTGGCGAATTTCTCGAAAAGTAAGGATTTTGGGCCATGTGTTGCTCAATAACTCCTATATAAACATGCATATGTGGCTTCGTTTAAGCCTATTTTGAAGTCTCTACGACCTTCAGAAGCAAGGGGTCGGTTACGTTATTGGGTCAATATGGGCGTGGCCCTCCTGGGTTTTCTCCACTGTCAAAAAAATGTCTCCAAACGAAAATCGTTTATTCATACCTTCGGGAAGGTCTGTGCAAAGGGGGTAATGCAACGACCATTAATGTCAGTATTTGAGATTTTTCCGAAACTGACATTGTCATTAATGGTCATTAATGGTCATTAATGGTCATTAATGGTCATTAATGGTCATTAATGGTCATTAATGGTCATTAATGGTCATAAGATATCTCAAATTTTGAAATATCTGGCAGTAGCCTTGACTAATTGAGGGGAGAAATCATGTTTCGTACGGAGATCAGCGGCTTAGGTCAATACAGATGAACGGATCAAAACAGCCAGTCAGAGCGAGCTGTCGAAGTTGGAGTACCCGCCAGTATTTTACTTCAACAAAACAGGAAACTTTCCCATGCAGGACATCTGTCATGAGTTGAAAAAACTGGTTAACTGTCTCCATTACCTCAGTACTAGATTCATCATAATGGCCGATTCTGATTCGATCAAAGACACGAAATTCACCCTAAACTGGGGGATGATTCTTAAACTCGCTACGGAAAGTGAAGAATTCAGAGACTCTGTATCCCTTACAACTCTGCAGCACTCTGATAGACAAAACCCGCAGTGTGCTGCAGAGCTAACGGCTACATGGGATGTTCTAAAACAAGCAGGATTTCTGAGCCTCTCGGCCTATCTTAAGGCCGGGTTTTTGCTCCTGGCAGCGTTTTATGACAAATCGCTGACTGTTTCAGAAAGAGCTGAAAATGCGTGGACTGTTTTCACGTTCTTCACTCTGTGGGGAGAACACTCGAAGAAATTAAATACCAGCGAGAACTTCATAACTAGAGAAAGCTTCAAAGACTTAATAACCGCAGCTAACGGACTTGTCTTGTATTTTGTCGACTTGATTTGTAATCACCCCAAAGCACCAGTAGTACCGTGGTTTTTATCGTCTGATCAAAATGAACAACTCTTCGCTCGAATCAGGGTTGGGCGGCACTCCGGTAGACGCACACAAATCGACTCTACAAGAGTCCCTGAAGCCATGGGTCGTTACAACCGACTATTAGAGGTGGAGAATACGCTTGATGTTGAATGTGGTACAAGTGTTCATAAAACCGCTCATACCCGGGGGAAGACACTCTTTTGTTCTGAGTGGAGCAAACATCCAGAGAAAAAGATTGCTGTTGATTTTGGAGGTTCGGTCAAGATGAGTAACCTTATAATCCAAAGCTTAAAAAGAGGATTTAAGATTGGAGAGGAACTCTTTGTTTCCTCTTCTAGTTATGGAAGTTCGTATCTTTCAGGTGATAATGGAAATGTTATTTCTGAAAGACGGCGGAGTCTCCAATTTCCACTCTCATATGGTAGTGAACAACAATCAGATGATGAATCAGACCATGAGAGTGAAGACAATTTTTCTGATTATGAGGACGAAGAGCTGGTTGATAGCTCCACTAAGGTCGTGACCAAATATTGTAACCAAGGCAAGACCAACTTTGGTGCGAAAAGCCGAAGGAAAAGATTTTTTGGTCTTGCCTTGGATACAAGTATTGGGTTGTATCGCCCAGTCTGTAAAGGTTTAGCAGAACCAGAGCTATGCAACGCTCAAGAGGTGCAAGTTGGTGGAACAATAACTGGTATACTCATAACAGGCAAGGATGAAAAAAGAAGGCGCACGGTTGTGCAGGGCAAAGTGCTTTCTATATCTGTTAAGACATCTAAAGCATCACAAAGAAAAGGAAATGCTCAGTCGGGAGAGAGAAGACCTGCGGTGGCGATCTGTATTGAGCACGATATGTCTTCCCAGTGTTGGGTGAAGACCCAGGATGGTTCAATAATAAATTTAGATTGGGAGAACGTTGTTGTTATGGTATAATTGGGTTAGTTGTAATATGTAGTAATATCAGTGTTTGAGAAAGTTGTAAAATTAACTTTTCATCCCCTTCCAAGACGTAAAGTACCGTCTACTTATTGTTAGTTAACTTTAGGTAGGTTCTAAGTGGTCCTCGTGTCCGTCCTTCTTGTTCCAGGAAGTGCGAAAAAAAACATGACCATTAATGTCAGTATTTGAAATTTTGGCAAAACTGACATTGTCATTAATGGTCATTAATGGTCATTAATGGTCATTAATGGTCATTAATGGTCGTTGCATCACCCCCTGTGCAAAGTTTCGTGAGTATCTGAACATTTGCAGGTTCATTTCCATAAATGACCATAAATGACTGGATTACACAACTTTAGAGTTAACTTTAGAGAAACTCATAGTCATTTATCTCAAATTAAGCTGTTAGTGTCCATGATCAACCTGTGGCGACAATGTTTTACGTGAAATGTAAAAATCAGGAGTAATATAAAAAGTGTATTTTTAGATTAAAGTGCTAGCTCATAGTTTTAGAATTGTATAGATTAACGTTGGTCGTTTAACCATCTAACAATCGATCGTGCCGTATTAATATATGGCCAAAGAATAATAGGATCTTGGAAATTCTATATTTGTTCAGTGGGTCGATTGACTGAACACGTTTGCACTTGGTATTTAAACTTACCAGTAGTTTATTTATGTTATGTACCGATGATAATGCAATTAGGATAACAACTAGGTAAGCCGAAGTATAATTCAAAACTGTAACACACCGCACACCGTACACTCCAATCACTATTACTATTTGGTAGACCGGGTATTTTGGCGGGAATTCTGTTCCCACGGCACTGTTCTGATAGAAGCTACTTCTACTAATGGTCCCAGAGGAACGGCCGTAAAGTAGCCAGACTTCTTGTCTCCTGTACTGGCTGACACATGCAGATTAAAGTTAGAAATTTCGCTATGCTATAAATATAATTGCTCTCGGAATTGAACAAACTAGCTCCTACTTATCTAGATCCTTTTAAATTCGTTAGAGTTTCATGGACTGGGGAAAAATATTCAGTACAGTCTCCCTGCTTGTGTAATTAAGCAATGAAAACAATCCAAAATTATCACATAATATGACATAAGAACTGTAATAGCAGAAACTTTCTAACCGTACATTCACCCGCCTCTGTCCAAGAACCTATATCACTGTTTAAAATCATGACGTGAGCACTGTACATCCAATCAGCTATTCCTTTAGTTAGGATGATAGCCAAAACTATAAGGATTTTGGAGAACTCGGGTAATAGTCATAATTCTAAAATTTGAGTGAGTAACACGTGTTTTAATGACAACGATAAACATTTGCAACGTATTACGCTATGCCAGCGCGCACTGAGGGACTTCGTGACGTCACGAGGCCACAGCTTATTATTGCAATAACACGCGTTACACGTACGCTAGAGAGTTGGTTCTTTCGGCGATACGATTCTTTACCAGTTTGTCACAGCTGATTTAAATCTTAGCCAAATTGGAGACTACAAATTTTTCAGTTAACTGGTCCTTTAATACAGTCAAACCAGATCTGGGACTTACAGCTCCAGATCTGGTTTGCTGATGGAGGAGAATGGGGAAAAGAAAAGAGGGAAATGAAGGGTAGTTGAATGCTTACCTTCTAAGCAGAATTCCATAGTTTCACCATCGTCCAGACCTATGTAATCTTCATCGTGTTGAGGCATAATCGTGTCAGCCTCTATACCGTCTATTTGCACCTTCACCTGGGTTGTTTGAGGAACATTTAACAAACTACCCGTTGTATCACTGAATATGTTTCTAAAAACGTAAAAACCCCCTCCTGACATAACTAGGATTACGATTTGATATTATTTGACTGACAGAAAATGATCAAACTTGGGCAGATGTGGATGTATACTGACCATGAGACCGTAAGCTCACGTTTTTACAAGCTAGCTAATAAAATCATCTAACACTTGGTTGTTTACATTACCTTAGCAAGTAATAGTCCATCACTTCCTCCAGTCCTCAACGACACACATCTATACTCCCCTATGTCAACATAACTCCCAAAAACACACAAAACATCTTGGTTGTTAACATAGAAATCTGTTTCACATAGCATTTCATCTGTCTCTCCGCTTGTTCCTTTTATTTTAACATACTGAGAATTTCTAGTTCGTGCGTACCGGTGATCTCCAATGGAGTAAGTTATTCCGTACTGAACCACTGAAATAAATTTGATAGCATACTGGAAAATACTTCACATGACACCTTTAAAACAGAGGTTTCAGTCAAAAACTACTTCTGGTCTTTGCAGCGAGTCTGAATTCGAAAGGACCACATCTTATTAACACTAAAAGCTTGCAGTTGGAGATTAGATAATCAGTCCTCACGATCTCCTCTAAAATAAAGTAAATGATGAAGTATATCATGCTAATGTGGCCAATGAGTAGAAAAATATACAAGCAAATTACAAATTACAGATTACATGATAATATTAATATTACAAATACAAATTACAAATTACAAATTACATATCACACGTACCTGTATCCGAAGCAGCATGACTCGGTTTAACCGTTATAACGACAGTTATAAAAACGAACACTACAAATTTATACGACATCTTGAAACTTGGGTCACGAAGAATTGATTTCCTCCAAGTAACCTGGCCTTGAAAATATGATACGTTTTCAATTACAGGATATAAATTTGATTACAAAGATATCCCGTATCATACCTTAATGATATTGTGAAGTTGCAAGACATTTATTTATTATTATTACATCAAGATGGCAGGGCCTACTCTCATGCTGTCTATAGATGATGATTAACTCTGAAAAACTGGGGACAACTGGGGAATGATCCCAGAACCTCGACATATCGCGTGCCTTGCTCTGCCTGTTTTTCAGAGTTAATCATCATCTATAGACAGCATGAGAGTAGGCCCTGCCATCATGATGTAATAATAATAAATAAATGTTTCGCAGCTTGGCAATTGATCGGTGTAGTTGGTGTTGTACACACTGCATTGATAATAATATCACGTTGTACGTGTAAATAGTGTGGATATATGCGAATATATAATCTACTAACTGAGTTGCAAAACAGTTGAACTCAACAGAAAATAAACAAACATAAAAGTCGTGAGAAAATGGAATTCGTGCAAATTTTACACCGTATGTGTAATGTGATTTATTGGGTCAGGAATATCGAAAAGAACATTTAACTTCCTGTACGTGATCTAGATTCTGTATTTGATCTAGATCACCAATTAGATCTGATCTATTGGGTCAGGAAATTCGAAGAAAATTTAGGAAAGGAATGTGTCGTCGACCCCTTAGATTACGGGCGTTATTTTTGTGGGTCAACTGCAAAATTTAATGTCACAAACAAATCAAGTCAATTCTCCACCCCCGGTTAATCGGATTTCTAATTGTCCTAATCGCTTAAGGCCAGAGGGGGGGGGGGGGGGGTAAAATTGGTTTTTCCAGTTTTCACATATTTGATCAGAGCTGCTGGAGACGAACAAGAAGAAAAAACCGGACCGAAATCTGACCTTGCGTTTTTAAGATATCGCGTGCCAAATATTGAGGTTTACATGTAATTACATGTAAAACTTAAACTTAAACTGTAAAAAGTTAAAAGTCCCTTAGTTGAGAATACTGGCCACACCCAGAAGCTGAAACTTGGCACAGTTGTTCCTTGGGCTGCCACCCACAATTCTATTGTACAAAATTTTGATATTTGCCTCTGTTCTCGAAATATGAGGTTAACTTTACCCCAAATTCGACACTTTTTGAAAAATTGTCGAATTTGGGGTAAAGTTAACCTCATATTTCGAGAACAGAGGCAAATATCAAAATTTTGTACAATAGAATTGTGGGTGACAGCTCAAGGAACAACTGTGCCAAGTTTCAGCTTCTGGGTGTGGCCAGTATTCTCAACTAAGGGACTTTTAACTTTTTACAGTTTAGGTTTAAGATTTACATGTAATTACATGTAAACCTCAATATTTGGCGCGCAATATCTTAAAAACGCAAGGTCAGATTTCGGTCCGGTTTTTTTCTTCTTGTTTGGCTCCAGCAGCTCTGATCAAATATGTGAAAACTGGAAAAACCAATTTTACCCCCCCCCCCCCTCTGGCCTTAATTACGTTAAAATAGGTTTTTAATTACCACCACAATACCAGGCACCAGAGTGGGAGGATGGTAGAATGTGTCACCTCTGCAGACAGCTCTTTACCATCACCAAGCGCAAACATCACTGCAGGAACTGTGGTCAGATATTCTGCGCCGAGTGTACTGCTGAGCGCTTGCCTCTACCTCACTTTGGCATCGAAAAAGAGGTTACAATGATACATTTTAGATAAAACATTTTGTTAGATTACCTTTAGTCTTCCAAAAAATGTTGTAAGAGTTTAAAGTTGCTATATAATATCCCTCTTTACTAACAGTTTAAAGTTGATATATTATTATATAATGTTCTTGTTTATTTCAGGTGAGAGTCTGCTCAATCTGTGCCAGTAAAGTTGGAAGTAAGAGTAAGGAGGCAGCAGCAGCCGCAGCTCCTGGCGCAGTTCCGGCTACTGCAGCAACCATCGCTGCAGCTGCTGCTTCTGCCGGCAAACCTCCAGTCAATCCTCAGGTAATTTTACTTGACACCTGATGCCCTTCTATGGTCATATTTGTCACCAGATGCCCTAATAAGGTCCATTTTACATTTTTTTCTCATTTTTTTCGTTTTCTTTGTCTCGCTCAGTAGAAACGCAACTTGAACAGGAATATGGCCGTTTTAAAAGTGATCTTAATTGTGTGTTTGATGTCATCATGTACATATTGCATAATGTGTATTGTATAATATATGTGTGACATAAAAATGTGGCTAATGAATATTATTACAGGGCTATTTCAGTACATACAAAAGTTTCTAATATTTTAAATATTTGTTCTCTTTTCCTTTTAAAATAAATCTTAACTCTATTATATTTAGGCGGAGACCGATGAGAAGAGAAAAGAAAGAGTTTGGAACAAAAAAGAAAGGGAGCTTGAATCTAGCTATCGCTTTCTATCACCTTTCTCACAAGAGGCTGGACCATCGTTGAAGAATATAATTTACTTCTCGCAGATACAAACCGCCATGTTGGAATCTACAATTAAGTTATATCTTATTGATGCACATGCCCAAAACAAATTGACTATAATTTCTAATAATCCCTAAAGTTTTATGAGTGGTGGTTAAAGTTTCAATTTCAACCACCACTCATATATATTTTATAAATAAACACATATAACCTACAACTAACAACAACTAACAACAACTAACAACAACAACTAACAACAACTAACAACAACAACAACAACAACACTAACAACAACTAACAACAACTAACAACAACTAACAACAACCAACAACAACTAACAACAACTAACAACAACTAACAACAACCAACAACAACCAACAACAAATAACAACTAACAACAACTAACAACAACTAACCGACCCCAGGCTCGCGCACACTCGCCCCCTGCAATACAGAAGTCTGCCCCTGCGGAGAACCTGTACGCGGAGGTAGAACACATTAAACCTTTCAAAGAGCAGGTAGCACCTCAGTCTTACTATCCTGACCTTTCCAATGCTACTGTGAGTGTGCTTATCTTTCTTTTAGCATTTTTATAGCATTTTTAAAAAAAGCATTTTGATGCTCTCCATTTGATGGGTTTCATAGTTTGATTCTATTGATCTTTCCCTAATAAAGTAATAATGAAATTCCAAAAGTGTTGGTATTTTCTTGAACTGCACGACAAGATTGTCGTGCAAGTTCAAGAAAATACCGACACTTTGGGAATTTCCCGTGTGAAAAGGATATTCTGTTTCCAGACACAATGTTAAGTATAGCAATTATAAATGTAGCTGGAATGTAGCTGGAATGTAGCCAATTTATCAAATGTGTGCCGCAGGTTGTGCCGAATGGTTTGTATCCAGCAGTTACCGCTCAACCGGCCGCTACTGCAGTCTCCCCACCAACACAACAACCTATACAACAAGCTTACCAGGTAATTAATTAATTAAGTAATTTATTAATTGGGTGATTAATTAAATGGGTTAGGTAATTTTATAGTGCATTACAGGGCTGATAGATCAAGGTATCTGTATAACAGCCGCAAAAGGTTGACCTACATATAATTTGGTTACTTATTTGTAACTTATATTTGTAACTTATTTGTTACTTATTTGTTACTTATTTGTTACTTATTTGTTACTTATATTTGTTACTTATATTTGTTACTTATTTGTTACTTATTATTATCGCAGCCCCAGGCGGTGCAGCAGATAGAGGAACCTCAGGGTGATAACACCTACACTCAGCAGATAAAGGACCTTACGGAAATGTTGATGAGGAAACTTAACCAAGCTGCTATGAAAGGTAACTTTTGATTGGTTGGTTTGGGTAAGATGGTGTTAATACTGTATATTGTGAATGGCGAGACTGAGTGGCCATAACTGGTATAGAAGCCAAAGTGCTCTTCTCTCATTCAACTTTACTATCATTCCTTCAATTGAATACACCCTGTTGTCCAATGTCCATCAAACACAACAGATTTCGATTCCAACATCATTACTCAATAGGATGCATACATAGCCAATTCTATATAACACCACCAATTAACCAATTAACTAATCAGCTAATTAATCCCAGGACAACACGTGGGCACTGATCCCCACATCCAGACCCTACTAGCCTCCCTGACTGCTCTACACCCTAAACTAGTACGGATATAGAGGACACGGAACGGAAGATGAAGACACAGAAAATACTGTTAGAGAAGATTGGAACGTGTTCTCAAGCACGGGAGAGTCTTAATAAGATGAGGGAAGAACATTTGGAGAAGGTGGGAAACTTAAAAATTTAACCCTTACAATACGTCATGTAAAAGTTTAAAAATAGAAGGATGTAAAGATTTAAAAATTAGAAAATGTAAACAATGTATTACATGTTAGATTGTAAAAATGTAATAACCGCGAAGGTACGACAACAAGAAGAGGAACAGAGTATACTGATGAGATTACAAATGGAGCAGAAACTGGAGCTGCTCCGACAACAGAAGATGGAGCAACTCAAATACCAGGTCAGTAATCAGTACCGTCATTTTAGCCAACATTTAAATATTTGACCATATTTATTTGTTTGTTTTATCATTACATTGTTAAGTCTGAACTCACACAGACGCCGGTGTTTCTTTGATTAATAATTTTAATGAAAACCTAAATTGTCATTTGACGTTCAAAACTTTAATTGCTTCATTGAGTAATCCACTCTGGACCGGTACGATAAGGTTACAGTATAGAAAACACTTATAGTCGGATCATCTTGCACATTCGGGTGTAAACAATGATGTAATTGGATTCTTAACTAAATTTCATACAAATATTTTGATAAACCCAGAAAATGTATCCCAGTGTTAAGTGGCACACTTAACATCACATGTTTAACAGGAAGAACTGAAGAGAAGACACGAACAAGCAGTGTTTGACAGGGAGACCGCTAAAGTAGCAGCACAACAAGCAGCCCAGGCTCCTCCGCAAGCAACCAGCCCAGCACCTGCCCCACCGGTCGTTATGAGCACTCATGTTAATCCTAGCAATTATGTTAGTTCAATAGTGTTAATTAGCGTTAATGATTAGCGTAATTAAATTAGTTCAATAGTGTGAATTAGCGTTTTATAAAATGATTAGCGTTGAATAATGTTAGTTCAAAAGTGTTCATTTTGCTTTGTTTTTTGTAACTAACAGTATAGTTAAGGTAATAAACAACAAAGTTTAGAACTCAAAAGTAAAAAGTCTGATAAATTAACACATGTTGCACAGGTAGCACCACAACCAGCAGTCGGAGTAACTCAACCTCAACCCTCGTACCAGCACACCACGCGTACCGCCAACTGCCCGCCTGGGGTTTACGCTAATCCTCCTCAGTACATGGGACCCCCTCCTGGCGCTCGACCCATGATGGGGCAACATTATGTTCCTTCTCAGCATCATATGGGACAACCGCCTCAATCTATGGGACAGCCGCCTCAATCGATGGGACAGCCACCTCAATCTATGGGACAACCGCCTCAATCTATGGGACAGCCGCCTCAATCTATGGGACAACCGCCTCAACAAAATATGGTACAACCTCCCCAAAATATGGGACAACCGCCTCAACACACCATGGGACAACCGCCTCAACAATCTATGGGACAACCGCCTCAGAATATGGGACCACCTCCCCAGGGGTACCAGGGATACCCTCCACAGTACGCCCCTCCTCAACAACAGCATATACAACAGGAACCGCAACCTCAACAACAAGACAACGAAGCCCAACAACAGCACCAACAACGCACACCCCCTGTGTCCCAACCACCTCAACAGGTACATTTACAACTTTTAATTTATAATGATAGTTTTTAATGGTTTTGATCCATAATTTTTCAGCATTTTTCCAAGTTGTATTTCAATTAGTTGTTTTAATTTATTATTAATTTATATTAATTAATTTTAATTTCAGGAGTCGGCAGCACCAGCTCCTCCTCCCTCCTACGCACCTCCTCAATCGACCCTGTCAAGTCGCGATGTAATGAGTGCGCTGGACAACGCGCCTGCTGTTCCTACTGAAGCGCTACCACAGCCAGCGCAGCGCACACGCCGCAATGATCCTCCTGTTGCAGACTTGATATCTTTCTAAAACAATGAAAAAGATACTGAAAAAGACGTCTGTGCCATTTAAAATCTCGAGATTGTTATGTTTGAGGAGTTTCTTGAAACATGTTATGATCATTATTGAAACATGTTATGATCATTATTGAAACATGTTGTGATCTGAATTTTCTGTTTGAATGGGGATTAATCTTAATCTGAATTTTTTGTAGAATAGCTGTTTAAAGTAACCGTGACACCGCTTCTTGTTGAATTGAATTTTTGAATATTTTTTCTTTATCTGTAGAATGATTAAATTGATCTTAAAATTCGAGTCCTCTTCAAGCATTTTATTTTAACCACGAGTGTATTTGTTAAAATATCGAAACTATGATGAAATAAATTTTCGTTTTGCTATGAAACCCTGGAATAAAACACTGAAAAACACATAACAGATATATATAATAACAATTTCCCTTTCTTTCCAGGTTCATTAATAATAATGGACAAGTTGCGTTCCCGGAAATGTCCAAACTGCGACGATGTCGGACATTCCTCCCTGGACTGTCCTAAATTAGGCAACTCTAGAGCAGGCGGACTTCCTGAGTTCGGGACAGACGTCGGGATAAAACTCCGGGTATCTAACAGAGAGTCTGCTCATTCTAGACTCAACGAGTCCGCTCACTCCAGACTCAGTGACCCTGACGTAGGAATAAAACTCCGTGTCTCAAACAGAGAAAATAGAGAGTCAGTACACTCCAGACTCAATGAAGCAGATGATAAAGTAAGGGGTCCAGCACACTCTCGTCTCTCCCAGCCCGCTAAAATCAACGTATCAAAACTTCTAGAACGTTCTGATAACTCCAGAACAGAGAGTTTTCTTCGTGGAGAGGGGAAGTTTGAACAACGTCCATTGTACCAAAACATAGCGATTAAAGCAAAGAGGACACGTCTGGTGGAATCAGACAGTGAGTCTGATGGCCGGGGTCACGTGTCAGACGAACCTTTAACCATTCAGGTTGACTATGGGAAACCCAAAAAATCAAAGCGTAGGTCGTCAGACCGGGGGGTAAGAAGATCTCTGAACGCTCAGAAAAGTGCAGCTAAACCAGGTGATCTGAGATATCAGATGAAATCAAGACCTCTGGATGCTCCCCTCATCCCGCAGTACAAAACCAAAGAAGATCTCAGATTTTCCATAAAACGACCGACTACAGAGAGTAAGCGTAAGAAGACCCGACCTCCAGAGCATGCTGATGACGTGCCACTGTCTCCAGTTCACAACGTCGAGGAAGAGGAGGAGCTGTTGAAGGAAGTTTCTGGAATTAAAAGAACGACGAGCGGTTCAGTGATCAGATTTGACAGTTCCGGCGAGGAGGAGGAGGAAAAGAGGAGGAAGTACAAGACGAGGAACCAGTGGAGGAACCAGAAGAGGACGCAGAAGAGGACGTCAAGGAGGTTTTCAAATCAGAGAGTGGAAGTGAGAGTGGGAGTGTGGAGGAGATGGAGGCACAGGAGGTAAAAGAAGAGACCAAAGACGAGGTAATGTCAGCTGAAGAAGCACAAAAAGAAGAAGCAGGCTCATCTTCTTCATCGGATGAAGACGGATCTTGCCCTCCCAGCTGGCGTGATGTACCGACGCCGAAGTGAATTCCTAGCTGATGAAAGATGTCCAGAAGAAGAAGTTTATCGATATCAGAGACAAATACGACTCAAATCCAATCCCTGTTCCTGCTACTGCCCCCACAAAAGTACAACCTAAACGTCAAACCAGCAGAAGATCTTCTGACAAAAGCAAGACTGAAGTAAAGCGTGATCATCACACTGCATCTGATGACTCTGACGCCAGCCAAGTTAAGAAACCTGTACTGAAACGTGTTAAAACAGAATCACGATCATCTCGAGATGGTCCGCTCTCCAAGGAACAGCTCCTCAGTTTAAAACGCAATGATTCTGATTCGTTCTCTGACGACGGTGAAGAGGAAAGGGCACATTCTGGGGCGCTTGCTGTTTTAGAGGACACAAAATCCAGGAAGGAATCACCAGTTCCCGAGAAAATCATCCCTATATTTCCCTTTAAAACAAACTGCAGAGCGAACCAATTTCCTGAGTCCAAAGTACCGTTCATTGATTCTCACTGCCATATCGACTACTTACTTGTCAGAGAGAAAAACTACGGTTCGTTTGCATCGTACGTTGAGAGCAAGGATTTTCCCAAGAATTTCTCAGGGTGTGTTGCAAATTTCTGTGACCCTCCAGCATGGGGTGAGAATCGTATGTACGATGATATTCTAATGGAGGATGGTGTGTGGGGAGCATTTGTCTGCATCCTCACAACGCTAAAAATGTGGTGTCCCCAAATAAGAAGAGATCTGAAAAGACCGCCTCCCATCGCTACGGTTGGTGTGTCGTGAGAGGCTTGGGTGAGATGGGGTATGGATTACGGTAAGTGTTTACACTGACAGCAAGAGTCCTGATGTTATTAGAAATGCAGAAAGATGCGTTCATGCACAGATAAAACAGCGCTCAAGTTGAATAAATAAACAAAATCCGTTTGTTATTCACGCACTTGGGGAGCATGAAGCAGATGGTCGGCCTTTTGAAATCATGAAGGTAAAATTAGGATTGCTTTTATCCTTTGTAAGTAGCTGATGTGGATATCTATGATTATCAAAACTTTATATCATCGGTTTTCCGTATTCTGTGTCCTATTTGGCTGTTCTCGTGTTTTTTTTTTCAACTGTCAATTATTTCTAGGCTAAAGCACCAAAAGAACCACCGAATCATCCCATAGCTACAAAGTGGATCAGGGAATACTGCGTGGAAAATGCTGGAACATTTTCCTAACATGTATATCGGTGTTACAGGTAAGTTCAAAACTTTGTTTTTCTAATGAGGTATAATCAACGGCCATCTGACTACTGCCTAATAGGTCATTCTTATTTTTCGTCAACCCAAATAAGCCAAATGACATACTTAATTGTCGTTATATTATCTAAAAGTATCTCTATTTTTCGCGCAGCACCCCCCCACCAAAAAAAAATGTGTTTTAAAAAAATGCACGCTTTATAGTCTTTTGTTTTATGTTTTTCAACCGGAAATGATTAGAAGTGTCAACAAAATGGATCAATTGTGCGAACAAACTACTTTTAAGCTGACTGAATTTTGGTGAAGATATTGTACATCGAACAAGGCACCACTAAGTCGCTAGGGGATGAGGCGGTTTGTACTGAATTTAGTAAGGGATTTGGTTTCCAATGTAGGTAATATTTTGTAGTACTGTGGCGTGGAGTAACGTTCGAAGACAGAAGTATAGGTAAGCCAGCATTCATCACATTCCTTCAAAGATCAGCTGTGTTATGTTCGTATCTGCGGAAATTAAGGTGTGTTTATCACACGAGAACTATACAGCAGATTGCTGCATATTATGAAATTTATTAGCGGAGATTCAATGTGGTAAAAAGTGATAAATGGTGGTTTTTCTTTAACAAATATCCAAAATTTTTAATTTACAAGTCCAAAATATTGAAAGTGAAAAGTTTCCCACTTAAATAAAAAAAGAGTGACCTACTTATCGAGAATGTAATTGTGAACAATTTTTTAAGAAACTATATTTTTTTTGAATAATGAACATTGAATGTATTATATACTTAATTGATTCCATAAATGCAAAATTTATTTATGCAAAAAGATGTTTAAAGAAAAATTTGATACTTCTGTGGTTTTCTAATGCTTTTAAACTAGAATCATCTATATATACAGAACGAGACTTATAGCGACGCACCAAAGTGGTAAAAAGGTCGTAAAAAATGTAATTGTGGATTTCCCTGAAGTGGAAAATTTAGGGAAAGGGGAATCTTTGAGTGATTCCTGGGACTTGCCCGACCATATACCTTAAAATCGCATTTGTTGCGAATTCTTTTCCGACAAAGTCTTAATTAGGACGGATTTCACCGTAGACAGACATTTAGGTTGTTGCACTCACAACGTTAAAACATTAACCGAAAAATCTGTGTTAAAACGCGAACGGTATATACACAAAGTTTTCTTGAAACAAGCCGAAAATGAAAAAAGAACTAGCCTCAAATTATTATGTAACAAGGCTAAACGTTTCCTTCGTTCTGAATTTATAACAATCAGTTTTGCGAAACGTTCGTCGAAATCATAAAATGTTATTATGTTAATAATAACCAATCTACTTCAGGTCTAGTAACATTTGGTACTGCGTCAGATGTCAGAGAGGTTGCCAGGAAAGTACCTCTAGAGCGACTATTAATAGAAACAGATGCACCCTACATGAAACCTAGCAACGCCAACCTCGTCGATCAAGATTCTCCCAGGTCAGCAAGCCCTGCCATGGGCGTGTGGGTTGCGGCCAAAATTGCCGAAATCAGACGGATTGAACTTGACGATGTTTTGATCCAAGTAAGGAAGAATGTAACTAATATGTATGGCATTTGAGCATAGAAAATCAGGATATTGTATTTTCCTTGATGGTGGCAGCTTGACGTATGTTTTTTGTAACGTTGAACGTTTCGAGTTAGGAGCTGATTTTAATACTTCTTTAACAAGTTTAAAATCGTTTAGATTTTATCTTTACATATGATATGGATTCTGTCATTTATTGGTCCAGCGCCTAATGCTATTCTTTATATCCTTTTCTGTCCAGATCATTTGATTTATTCAATTTGTTCTGAAATGTGCGTTTAAATAATTTAACATTGTAACGATGATAACTGTTGTTTTATTTTTAAAGATTTCGCGTTACCCCGAAACTAGCCTCTACTAGAGTTCACTACCTTTTAATTCCTTGTCGCGCGATGCACTACAATACTGAGCCCCGTATCAAATACTGCGCGCCGTAATCGTATTATATAACGCGCTTCTCGCCACAACATCGTGAGATCGTAGCAGAGCTATTACATATTATAAGAGTTGCGAAGGATCTAATCTTCATTCGTCAATCATGAGAGTTTTACATTTTGCTACAAACTGAAAGTTTTTATAAGTAGGTTTATAACCATTATTACCTACAAAATTATGACGCGCGCCGAGTTGGACAAATATTTTACGAGTATCTATGCTATAATATATTAATATATCATACATCATCCGTAAAGTTTTTATTTTTACTTTCCGCGCCTCCGCAGTGATGTGCCACATGCAGCTGGTAAGCTTTTCTGGATTATAGTTTCAGTTTAGGTAGGTAAATAAAAATGCACGCTTTATAAAGCAATGAAAGGCATTAGTTTGGTCAAATCAAACGGAACATATGCTATCAGACTTTCAACTTACTATGGCTTTATATGCGTGCACGTGCATGAAATAATTATGAAACGTACATTAACATATGTTCACATAGCCATGTGTCACAAACGACGCAGTTTCGCGCTCAGTGGCGCACCGTTTTGATCAATGATGAGTTGCCAAAACGCACTTCAAACTTACATTTGCTGATTGCTTGGCATTTAAGCCTAGCAAGATTGTTGACAACATCATTCATTGTTACTGGGCGGCGCTCAGCCTGTCATTCCATCAAATTTTTATTATGTTTATGAGCATAATAGCTTGGGGTCCCCAGGTAACATCCATTGTTAATGAACTAACCCGGCAAGCGTTATTTCGTAGTATAGCATTTGCCTCAGGCTAGCATTTCGAGAAGAAAGCGGCGCGCGCTACTTCAAAGAAATTTAGACGAGTAACATCCGTCAATGGTCAAAGTGCATGGAAGCGACCGTAATTCAAACATCAAAGTAAAAATCACCAAAGAGTGATGTTTTGCAATTTATGTTATCCATACCGTGAGAAATGCATGCAATAGATTAGCAAGTTAGGTAATAATAATAAATAAGTTAACCAACGTCGGACAAAATCACATACTCATCTTCTAATGTTGCAATAGTTTTTATGTGATTTTCATTTTATAAAGGCGCCCGCCGCGCACCTTGAAATTGTTCACAGAATCGAGCGCTAGTCATTCCTTTGCGGTTGATTAATTGTCGAAAAGAGATGAGTGCAAGCATTCGACAGTTATATTATTTTGATTAGGAAATCATTTGTATGCAATCCATTATAATTTGTTGGCTTATTCTTGATCTTATAATATCTTGAAAACGTTATTTGTCGTTTGATTTAAAACAACTTTTTATAATATCTAACACTATAGTGGTTTAAAAGATGTCCATGGTTTAAGCAACAAATTATTTTGTTACAAATAGCAATGTGAAGTGTTTAAATCATTTAAGCTACCCTGTAAAAATCCAAGAATATGCTTCATTGTGAGATTTTAGATAAGAACACATTTCAGCATCCACTAGTCGAGTGTGGCAGATACCAGCTCTTACCTTGATACATTTCGAAAAGAGGTATACAACGTGTTACAACTCTAACACATATAATGTAGACTAAAATGAGCGTCAACAAATTGAGCAGAGCCCATAGATTTTCTTCCGAGAAATTATGTTAGATGAGACACCCTACAGTCCGATGTACTGCGCTGTTGGGTTGTTTAGGGTATATAGGGTCATGTGTGTTACTGCCAGAGGCGGTTCATTTGAGCGTTGTGGTATTGGCATATGCCCAAAATAGGAAGAACAAAGAAATGTATACAATTATTCTGATGCAGGACTCGATATGCATGGGAATTGAATTAGCAAGTTAGGAGGGTACAACCCATAATAAGCATATATGCTATGGAGGCCTGCCCAATCCTCTAAAGCACTGTAAACAAAGCTGGACTACCTCCATATTTGGGATAATCCAAGTAAATTTTTGAGATAAAGTAGAGCGTAAACCTACCTCAAGGCAATCGTATAATTCCCGCTTTACTGACCCGAAAGCCCTACTATAGGGTTCCTCAAAATGCGATATGTTAACGATTAGGGGGACCTAGAAAAAGTTTTTCCTCGAGCAAATCCTTTTAATACAACAATCGTATTAAACCACTTTAGTGAAAAACCGCAAAGAGATATCAGCCAAAACAATCTGATACCTTTGATCGTCAAATATGTGAGTTGCTCTGATCCCGCGCATATAGAAATACAGGTAAAATGAGCGAGCGGGCCGACTAAAATTACTAAATAAAGAAAACTTAACAATTTTACGATTACTAACGAGCCTATAACCCAATGGAGAGGCGACTTATATGACCTGTTGAGAAAAAAGAATTATCAACCCTACGATAACCATAGCCGAGAATACACCAGGAATAAGATTGAAGTCACACAGAAAGGCAATGTAATTATGTATATATATAGCTACCAAACGCGACGTAACACCTAGCCATCCTGTTTCGTACACATTGATATATCAACATGGTCATATCAACATCAACACGGTCCTAATAAAAATGGATCAGGTAGGTATGAAATCATGTCATCATTCCAAGTTGGACAAGCACGCGCAATCACCAAGCTTTTAAGTCTAACTCACTAATTTGACAGCTGACTTATAGACATAAGCAAGATTTCAACTATTACACCTCGCAATTATTATACCAAGCATAGCAGACGAACACATCCACATTCGTTACGCATTACACTCAAGTCACAGAAACGACTAACGGTAAATTATAAATGAGTGTACAACTAAAGGCCGGAACACACGCGCAGTGCAAAAACCGCACGAGCTACTCAGATAGGACTAGAGGCGCCAAGGGCCAGCTAGTAAAATGCTTCTACTACAACAACATTTCATTATTGTGTCCATATCGGGTTATTCAAACAAGTCAAAACAAAATAGATTTTGTGGTTTAAGTTAGCGGATGCAGTGGGTAGGGGGACTTATCTTGGTAGCTATTTCAGGCGCTCTATAAATACCTACTATCAACACAAGAAACCTTTCTGAGTGAAGGCGCGATGTGGGAACCTTATTGAGATTATAAAGAGAAATTATTCGTAACCTTAGACTAATTCAGTGCAACCAAAGATAACCGCACTCGCAAACGCCAAAGGTAACACCACGTAATTAAAACAGAATAGAACAAAATGTTGACAAGAGCAAAAGGTGCGCGCGCACGTAGTCCTACACACATAAGTGACTTCACAGCCCCAAAATTGCTAACAGCCAAATAGGAGCGCGGTCGAGATATTGCACGAATTATCAATTTCACAGTCCGCGTATTTTTTTGATTCTACACCACATTCACAGGACTTAAAGACGCGAATATTGGAAGTAAATTCTAAGGTCCCCTCATCCTTTAATTAAAAGTCATATATTATGACACTGACCATTGGACTCCGCAAGTTAAGCTCAGGGTAAACCACTACTTACAGGATCGACCTTTCAACCTTGAAATCCTAACATTAGCTACAACAAACTACATGAGCATAGGCGTTGTATAATTTTGATAATTTGATATTTTATTAGTTTGTTTGTAAACCATTTAAATAGTTTTCAATTGATTTGTAAAGTATGCTATTTTGACTGCATATTTCGAGCTGTTTTCCTAATTATGTTAAATTTCGAAGGTGCGTACTACTGAACCCTCTGAAAGATGTAATCAACTACTAAATTGGGCACAGAAGCATACACCTCAAAGAACCCAACATTTGATTTATTAAAATTCACTTGTAATATGCAAGAATCAAATCTGCAGACTATTTGAAACAATAGTTTCTTAAAAGCTAAATTTTAACAACAAATTTATTTCTAGTAGGTCAGACAGAATGAAGGATGAAACATCACAATGCATTTTAAACAACTTTCAGTTGGAGAATCTCCGAAGGCATGTTTACAGAAGCACAGGAAAGACTGTTCTTGACCCTTACATGCAGGTTTGTGATGCACTTATTTTCAGTTGTTAGTAACCTGTCCAATCCACTTGGTCATCAAATCATAAAATGCAGCTAGGTAGTTGTTCAGTAATTGATAATTATATATTTTTAAACTTGGAACCTAGTACCATATAATATTAAGAACCCAGTATCATAATTTATGTAGAGTAGTTTTCAACAGTTAATTTAAATGTCCTTTGCAGCTTGGGAAGCATCTTTGAATTATTCAACAATATTATTATGCCAAATTTCTGTGTACATTTAAATATAAATCTTACATCATCAGGTGTTCTGGTGTTGGCTTGTTGAGCGTGTACCGCTATGGATAGCACCCAACATGATCACACTGGTTGGTCTTGTAATAAACGTGGGCACTTCTCTTGTCCTTGTTTACTACAGCTCTGATGGGCACTCAACTGTGAGTTATTAGTATTTTATTTCATTTTGAGTTGAAGTATTTACTAGTTTATTACTAGTTTATTTAATATCTGCCATGATTTAATATATGGCTTGGCATCCCTGTCCTAGACACTGGGCATTAAATCTTTAAATCGAATCAATTTTTAAATGATCAGAAATACTAGATGGTACAAGATAGAGATTAGAGTCTAGTTTCATACTCAAGGTGTGTTACATACCGGGCACACCTTGTCTCCGTCATTATTGACCCCGCCTTTTTTATAAGCAAAGTGGTATATTGTCGTTGGTAAATGGCTCCGTGCCCTACAAGGTGCCTACTTATTGTATCACAGTTAAAACACTTACTTACAACTTTAAATACATGAAAATCTTAATACTCACTAATGATGGTGGCCGTGGTGGATGTGTTATAATGGGAGTATTAAGGTTATAAAAGTATGGTGGATCAAATAACTGGATACACGCGAACACTGCAGGAGCTTGCAGTTCGGTTAGCCTGTCATCAGGCAGGACCAAAGAACTCAAGCTTTAGTGTTGGAAATGTTCCAATATTATATGGATTAAACCGCATTTCGTAATACTTGCAATTTGTAATAGAAGAGGAAATATATGTTGCCATGACGGAACTCCACAAGTGAGGCGCACTAATCGTTATTATAACTGTGGACAGTCGTATGTAAGCACCCGTGCCAACGTCTTACTGTACAGTTTAACATCAATCACTAGTCGAACACTACCAGTGTACGTGTTATACTGATTCTATTCAGTCAACTCAGTGAGATGCAGAATATTAGGAATTTGGATTTAATTTAGTTAATTACATCCTTTCTCTGAGTCAAGTACCTAAATGGAAGTTTTCAACATTTATATTATAAGAGACAATAATCTCTCGCGAAAATTAAGGATTTTACATTATTATATGTTTTGGCTCACGTCAAACAGGCGGATATACCGTCTTATTTTACTTATTTTGGATCCTTGCTAATTACGGTTATGTCACAAATGTCTAGAACTGCAAAAGCCTTGAAAATAATAATCCGAAGATTCATCTAAGGAGAGATAAGATCTCAGACCTAGTAGAAAATTAAAATAAACGAATTATTAATCAGATTATTAATCATTACAAAAAACTTGTGTCCATTTTTATGCATCATTCTTTAGTAATATATATGGCACATGTATCTACGTTATAATTATCCTACTTGAGCCTTAGACAAATGTATCGTGATATTGAGTGCTATTTTTATAGACTAGATCAATTACAACTTGCGCTCCTCCCTCAGTAGTGTGCGTTGATAAATTAAGTCAAATTTTATACCGCACCTGAAATTCATGAATTCCATTCCATTATGATATTCATTTTAATATTATGAGCTTTCAAAGGTGCATTATATGATATGTTATGATACCTACTTAGGCTCCACCCTTAGTATTAAAACTTTTAAAACACTTTAAAAGTACTTTATCTATAAATTTAATACCTATAAGTATATAAATAGCCAACATTTATACAGTACTATAACGATACGTGCTCATAAAATAAAATCCATCCCATTTTAAGGAACTTTTAATGGTGCATTATAAAGGATGCAGCCAAGCATAATATCATGGGACTGTTAGTAGTGTACCCTATATCATACTCCTTCATAATGTTAAACTATTTAAGATTATATTTTGATATCACTATAAATAGTGCAGCACAATCACCAGTAATCATTATTTTAGATCTGCTGGCAAAAACTATTTCCTGTAAAGACACGACTGGTTGTTTTGGCACGTGATACCTGTTGTTGTCTACACTTTGGACTAGACACACATTCTTGTCTTACACACGTGCATTCTTGTCTTACACACGTGCACATTCCTGACGTGTTTAGTGGTCTCCTGACATCATGTTATCTGATGTTATGGCGTGGGCCAATTCTCGCATAACATGTTTTTGTGAACGTCCTTGAGATAAGATATAATGGAAAACCGTCACAATTTTAAAGCGAATAATTTAAATAGATAAATAAAACCTTTCAAGTATTGTAAGAACTACACAAGTTCATCAGATATTTATTTTCGGAAAGATCCCACCACCACACTAACAACACCTTACCCCTAAAAATCTGGTCCTATTACAGCCGGTTGTCTGAAGTACCAGATAATCAGCTAGAGAACCGTGAGATTTTTAATATTATACCAGTTAATTGCCGTTTATAATTCTAAACTCAAAATCGTAGTGAGAGATTCTGAGTAGAGGATGAACAGACCGGACCGTACGTCTGGGTTAAGTCCGTTACTGAGTCCGTCAGGTTTATTGAACTGTTCCGATTGTTGCAGACAACAGGTACCAATAAATTAAGGGTGGCAAAAATAACCAGATCATTCATGCGATCCTCCTGCAACATTTTGGGATTTTTTCAATGCAAAATTACATACACATCAAAAAGTAAAAATTATACGCAAATATAGATTCCGTAGCCGACGCAACTAATTGTCTCTCTCCGTCCATTCCCCGTCCGGTTCTGGTTTTATCTAAATTTTACAGATCATGACCAAGGGAACGTGTGACTGGTGGGTCATCCGCTACAATAAAAGTAAAGTGTGGTACTAACTACTACTTATGTAATTTTTGCATTATCCTATTTTAATTTTGCAATATAAATCGAAAAAGTATGCGGGAATCGCATAAATCCGCAAATTTTACCCACCTATAAATGGGTATGGCCCCTGGCTGAGCACAATCCATAGAAATGCTTGTACACCCAATTCACCAACTGTATCGACCGTGTGTAATGTGTAATGTCAACGTGGTAATGTCACTTGGGTAATGTCTCGTGGGTAATAGCGGGCCGGGCAGATTGTTTCTAAAAATTGGCTTGATCATGAACACCTAATATTACCCAGTGTGTACTATCCTATTACAGTGACACGTTGGGTACCATGTGGGTAACCACGGGTCACCATGTGTTAAACACTTGGTGGTACCCACGGTGGGTAATCCTAGTGGGTGGGTGTCCGATATTAGCTCCCACCTACTCAGATTGTTATTATATTTCATGGCACTCAGGAGGCGGGAAGTAAATTTCAGACCACACTTAATGACTTTGTCCGTGAAGTTGTTTGTTAGGGGTATACTGTGTAATTGTTATAAGTTAATAGTGGTGTGTGATGTGTGATGTGTGATGCTGTGTGGTGATGTGTGATGATTGATGTGAGATGTTGAATGTTTGATGTGTGATGTGTGATGTGGTGATGTGTGGAGTGTGATTTTGAAGTTGTGTGTGGGTTGTGCGATGTTGTGATTGTGATGTGTGATGTGTGATGTGTGATAGTGATGTGTGATGTTGATGTGTGATGTTTGATTAGTTGCGAATGTATGTCACTTTTACAAGTTAGAATACTCAACATCATAATGTTACAGTGTTATGGACAGTTCCTATACATCATTAGATTATAAAATTGTATATTCAACTACTTTGCACTCATACATGCTTAGAAATAGTTACACCATACTATTCATCAAATCGTACCACATAATACCCATAATATACATAATACACATGATATACTAATACACCTAATACACATAATACAACATAATATCACATATAATACACATAATACAACATACAAGCCAACAACACATGCTACAAAACACAAATACACAAAATATACATAATTATACCACATAATACACATAAACACAAATAATACATAAACCCATAAAACTCATTAATACACATAATACACATAATACACATACTTATACATAAAACACATAATAAATATAATAACACATAATACACATAATACCAACATATAACACATAATCACATAATACAACATAATACACATATATACATAAACCTCATATATACATAAATACACATACTACACATAATAAACATAATACCATAAACACATAATACACATAATACACATAATACACACAAAACACATAATACACATAAAAAACATAGTACACATAATACACATAATACACATAATTATACATAAAACACATAATATACATAAACACATAATACACATAATACACCATAAATACACATAATACACATAATACACATAAAACACATAATACACATAAACACAAAATACACAAATACACATAATACACCATAAGATCCATCATGATGTTTATGTCATGACCTGATTTAACCTTATTGGTCGATGGCCACCAACTTAACTGATAAATAGCAATAAATAATGCCGTCGGCTATAATAGCTTACTCCTTATGAGTGAACAGTGAACAGTGAACCGTGAACACGTGAACAGAGAACAGTGAACATGATCAGTGAAACAGTGAACATGAACAGTGAACAGTGAACAGTGAACAGAGAACAGTGAACAGTGAACAGTGAACATGCAACAGAGAACAGTTAACATTGAACATGAACAGTGAACAGTGAACAGTGAACAGTGAACATGAACATGAACAGTGAACAGTGAACAGAGAACAGTGGAACAGTGAACAGTGGACCAGTGAACAGGAACATGAACCGTGAACAGTGAACATGAACAGTTAACAGTGAACAGTGAACAGTGACAGTGAACAGTGAACAGTGACAGTGAACAGTGAACAGTGAACAGTGACACAGTGACAGTGAACCTGAACATGAACAGTGAACATGAACAGTGAACAGTGAACAGTGAACAGACAGTGAAGTTGTGTAAAGGCAGAATAGCAGTGCGAACTGCAAACTGGGCAATCAATCTACTCTAAAATTATTATTAGTGTACAAAATAATCAGATTACTTACAAGTCATGAGGCAGTGTTGTTTGTTTATGTTGTCAAGTTGTGGTGTGGTATTGTGTTTGATTGTTTAGCCACTTGACTCTACCTCTACACTGATCTGTTTAAAAGTCTATAAGAGACCATTAACAGTTTTATTGTTTAATGATCTGAATTTTTTCACATTTCACATTTCCATATGTGATAGTAGTGAATAAATTGATGATATAAACGTTCTAAAGTGCTAAAAATATGGTAGAACTACATAATCTCTGGTCGAAAAATATCGTGTCAATTAATGTCAGTATTCCAAAATTTTGCAAAACTGACATTGACATTAATTGACATTAATTGACATTAATTGACGTTGCATCACCCCCATTTTATTAAATTAAGTTAAATTTATTAACCGGCAAATCTGTACACTACCCAGTGGACAATATTTTGGACATTTCTCATTGTTAGCTACATTCTCCTAATTTAAATACATGTACTTTGTAGTACGTAATTATACATAGTACTATAGTTGCTTAATTGTAAGTAGAATAATTTACCAATTATAATTTACTTCTTACCAATTAACCAATTAACTAATTACAATTATCTTCAGGCACCACCATCAGCGTTCATAATATGCGGTGTGGGATTGTTCATATATCAGAGTTTAGATGCCATAGACGGGAAACACGCCCGGAGGACTGGTAAGAGATATGATTAATTATCTGTAATTAATTATCATAATTGTGTTGTATTATTTTACTGTAGTCACGTGATTATCTCACATTGATTACTTGGCATACTGATCAAGATATGATCGTATCTGAAATGGGTTTAAGCTTATTTTAAATTAAATAACTGTGTAGTACTCACCCGTTAAATGCAAATGAAGGGCTGATCATCTTATCATCAATTTAAACTATATTTCATGTTTATTTGGTCGATAAGTGTCTTGTAATATGATGATTTACATTTAGAATTATAACAAGTCATATTATGGAGCCAGGGCTGGGTAACAGGTGTGGACTGGCTGCACCTGGTTAAAGCACTTCCATTATATCTCGATGATTTACAACAGCTCTAATTTACCAAATTTGTCGCATGATTTAACACCCCGTAACTGAGACGAATCAATCTTTGACACCTGCACTTTAATCAAATAATGCAAAATTGTCCGTAAAATTAGCTCTCTAAAAGACAGTAACACGCCCTTTAAACAGAAAGTTTTAAATTTCATCGCAGTCCAATTGCTCCTCCTTAAACAATGTCCCATGAGGCCATGACTTTAAAAAAGTCAGGCAGGTTCTAAAAATGTCCTATTTTGCACAAAATTTCTTCTCGAATCCAAAATTCCCTCGCAATTTGACTGCCAGAATCTCTGTCGACTGTCAATCTCTCTACTATGTTAATTACCCAGTACTCTAAACTCTTGATCTTCCGGTATGATATATCATACATGTGTAATGTGTATACTGTATATTATATACAATACACAAATTATATTTGATATTGCACAATATCTGCACACTGCAGTAACAGAGTAATTATGTGAATAAATATTGATTTTAGACATACTTCATGTTTATTGGGTAATATATGAGGGTGTAACATTGCCACGGTAACCTACATCAAGTCCTGGAATTACCGCGGAAAAAACCTGATTTTCTAAAGAAAAAGAAGCTTGAATTCGGGACACTGAGTATTCAAAGCGAGGTAAAAAAGGACCCATAAATTTTCCACTTTTCAACATAAATACTTCTCATACCCGTCAATTAAATGCTTCTCATGACCATGAAATGACAGTTTGCTGCGTCAATTGATAGGAATCAACTTCTATATCTGCATATTATATTGTGCAGAAATTTGATTTCACTACCTGCAGTAAGTTAATAAATACAATATCCGCCGTAAAACGCAGCTTTTACAACTTTTATGCAGAAAGTGGTAATAATATGATTATCAATGTCTACGGAAATGTGGGTTTAATAAGTAATGTCATAGTTCATTCCGTTCACATATTAATTTTATGTTCTTTAAATGCTTATTTTATACCGTCTAAATACTCATTGTGTCGTTGATCCTAATCAAAGTGAATCATTAGTCGGGATTGTTCTGAGAACGAATGCACGTATTTTAGGTAAAATCCTCTCTAACCTCTAACAATTGTGAGTGCAGAGCTGCAGAAATACACAATTGCTCCTCAAATAATATTATTACAAATTTAATTTATTATACTCCTATTATATATTTCATATTCAAAGTGCAATGTTGAATTATTATACACCTCTGTGTATGTGTGGACTGAGTATTATTATTATACACTATTATTATAATAAATTATATTATATAATATTATACACTAATATATATTATTTTACACTATTATATATTATTTTACACTATTACATATTAATAGTGGCGGGTTTATCATGTTTTATATCCAGTTCCTGTAATTCTGGCGGGTGTGAGCTGCTAGATTATTACAGAATTATACTATGATATTATACTATAATATTATACTATAATAAATTATAGTTTTATAGTTGAATACTGGAATTTATTTCGATGTCTTGTTTAGTGTTTACATATACCTTGGTTATATGTATACCAAGTCACATCAGTGAAATACCAAATTTGAACAGTTAATTTCCGGAAAAGATTAAAACCGGCCCGGAAATTCCGGAAATTTCACCTACCGCACATAAATTTACACGTAAAGTTATTTAAATTGCACTAAATTGCACTAAATTGCACCAATCCAGAGATCCACAATTTCACTGTCCATTCCTTCTCTGTCCTCTGAAACATTAATTAACTGCAAAAGTGTCTCCAGTCTGCACTGCACGCAACTACACAAGAGGTGAACTGTACTAGTTCTGTCCAGATAAGAGCGTAATTGAATTCATGTGTCTTGGTAACCGGATATGGTTGATAAGGAATTTGCTGCCTTGTTATCGTCAGAACTCGTGCCGTGGAAATATGCCAAATATTTTACGTCTCTCGTACGGCTTTAGAAAATATTGCTACTAAAATATGTAAATATTTACTTGATTGGTTTAAAACGTATGTTAAGTTCGAAATCTTAACTGAAGCTAGATTAAAAGGTATGCTCGTAAAAATGTTAAAGATCATGCAATCTTGTGAAGTCAAATGCTACCAAATAATCTATTAAACAAGTGAGACTTCAGGTGAGATGGTTAAGTTCTTAAAGTTAAAAATTAAAACTCGAGGTAAAAATATTAACCCAGGTTAAACTGCGTCAATACAGACAGAGAGTAATCCAGACATATGGACCACCTTGTTCCTCTGGAAATATTCCAAATATTTTATCCACCTTTGTACAAAGTTTTAAATTTTGATTAATATATGTTTTTTTAACATGCTTTTTAACGTTTATCAAGCAACAACTTGATTATTTACAGCCATGTTTTCTCTGGATTAGTTCTAAGAAAATATAAAATATTTATACGAAGAGGATGATATTAATGAGAGTTCCATCTTATGCATAGAACAATATAAAGATATAACACACCCGTTAACTTGTCATAATGTTATTATAACTTGTCATAACTTGTCATAATGTTAAATTATAACTTGTCATAATGTTATTATATATCCTTAACAAGATGTTATTCTATGACTAGAGCCAGGTTTTATCTGGCTTTATTCCAAGAAAGCACATGGTTTATTACATGATGCAGTTGGTTGTAATTTATCTTGCAATATAGCAATATCCACTAATATACTTGTGTATAACACTCGCTATACAGCTGTCCTGAACAACATGAATATTGAGATAGTCGCTTCCTGAACCAGGCATAATAACTTGGGTACTAGATCTGGCACTGTTCCAACTATTTTCGTGGTGTTGTGTACAAAGTGTAAACAAAGTTGGCTACTGAGACTTGTTAGTGCGTGTTACGCCCCTCTGCCTCCTGTATTGTCTTAAAACCTGGTTACTGGTTAATCAATTAGTTAAATTTACCAATTCTTCACCACACTAATCCTTTACCAATTCTTTTACCCGAACGCCCCTCTATAAAGTCATTTAAACTCTAACTTAAACCTTTTCTTCTCAAACTCTCTTTAAATCTTTCTTTAAGTCGACTTAAAGAGAGACTCGACTAGCCTCTAAGACTATTCTTTAAGACCAGCCTCTAAGAAGCCTCTTGAAAAAATCTCAAACCACGTGTTTTCCTCTTAACCACGTGTTTCCCTCTAAAACCACGTGTTTCCGGGCCCTAAAACCACGTGTTTCCCTCTAAACCACGCGTTTCCCTCTAAAACCACGTGTTTCCCTCAGGTACAAACAACCCTCTGGGGGAGCTATTCGACCACGGTTGTGACGCTTTCTCTACTGTCTTCGTTATAATAGCGTACGGTATTGCCACAGATCTGGGGCCGAGTTACTGGTTCTTCTACCTGTGCTGTGTCTGTAATTTTATGTTCTACGCCGCGCACTGGCAGACTTTGGTGTCGGGGGTACTGCATTTTGGACAGTAAGTGGTTTTTTGTGTGTTTTAAGATGACGGTTAGATAATATTTAGTATTTTAACTTACACTTATTTTACTGAAAGACGTGCTCAAAAAGCGGATAATTGTGCTTTTAATGCTGTACTGAAGTGTTTTAATAATCATAAATTCATGAAAACAGCAGTGTTGTTTTTATTGCTAACATGACATTTCATCTGTATAATAACAAGCTTGTTAAGTTTACTAAAGCTGTCGCTTTTGCTATACTTGTTATTATGCATAATTAAACATAATTATTAATTATGTTTTTCCTTTTTTAGATTTGACGTGACAGAAGCGCAGATCTTTTTGATAGGAGCACAATTATGGACCGGACTTTTTGGAGCTAATTTATGGAATATCGAACTTTATGAAGGTGAATAAAATCTTGTGTACCAAACATTTTACAAATTAAGAGGAAAACAAATTAGATAATGAAATTTTGATGGAATTATTAGGTAAACAAATGCTGATGCCGCTACAATGAGCGTAGTTCCCCTCCATGTAATAGGAAACTTGTAAGAAAGGTACAGAGTGTATGTGATGGTACCTATTTTTAAAACATCCCTCCACATATATATAGTTACTGTGATGGTAAAGGGAGGGTCAAGTTTCATAATTATTGAGTTGTGAGTTGCGTATAGGTAGGTATATATATAGTTATATATCCTAGGGGCCAGTTTTCAAGTTCCTTCCCTCTCCCTTTTACACTTACTCATACTCTTTCTCTTTCTCCCTCCATCACTCACTAAACGTGTTCTTCTCTATTTTCTCCCTCCTTTACTAATCCTAATGTTTCAGGTTTCCAATTTAAGCACGCAATGTTGTGTCTAAGTACCATATGCTCGTGTGCTTCATTTATCTTTTCTGGTAACGTCGCTACTATTCTGACGGGAGGGATCGGTAAAAACGGAGCAACTATCGCAGTGAGTTTATACTTTAAATTCATAGGGTATTCTTACATTTATTAACTTATCTTTACTTTTTATTTATAGTTGTTATTTATATCACTTCATGTTGGTACGTAGTGTACATAGTATATTATACTGGTAGAGTGCAAAATCTGCCTTGTTACACACTGTTTATTGTTACTAGTATAATTGAACTCGTATTAAGAGAAAGATAACAAGGTTTTGTTTTCTGTTATGTTATGTGTTCTATGGTCCCCCAATACCCCAAGTTAATATACTAACCTGTATAGTGTATTGCAGCAGCTAATACAAGTTGATATAATATAGTTAATATAATACAGCTAGTAAAAGTTAATACAAGTTGTTAAAACTATAACTTTGTGTCAACGCTCCATTGTAATTTAAGTAATATAGGGCTCCCGCACTCAATGTGCTACATCTTCTATCCTAAAAACACGTACGGAATGTCTACGTACGTATGTGATTCTGAGGAAAGTTATAGTGTGCCCATATCCCAGCGATCATAATTTGCTAATATCCAGGATAATTACATGATCACTATTAAATTTTTCTGATTATACTAACTTTTAGGATCTAATCACGCTTATTACACATTTAAATTACATATAAATTATAATATTAATGACGCATTTAAATTACACGCAATTTTTAATTATTTACATATGTAATTATTTCAGGACACTTCAGTGCTATCCCCTGGGATCCCTATCCTCCTTCTTACGGGCATGTTTTACAAGATACTAGAGGAAAGTGACACCATGTTTTACCAGGAGAATACCGTTCTCTTCCTCCTCACTATGGGTCTCGCCTTCACTAAAGTTACTAATTCTCTT